TCAATTGACACGATAGTAAAAGGTCGGAAGACCGCAGTTTCACATGGGGCATTTGGAGATTAGAGACTCTGAGCCTACACTCAATGAACAACATCTCAACACTAAATTATAAAGGCCTGTCTCAAATACAAGCCGGTGCAGTTCGACGATATGGGAAAATAAAAGCCCGGGCTACTACTTGAAGTTTTACGGTATATTCATTGTAGGCTATGTGTGCAATGTATTACATCATATGACATGTGTGCAGTGAACCCATTATAATATCTATGCACTGTTTTTACTATATCTCTCTAGGTAGAAAATGCTGTGAGACAGGGGAAAACCGGGTGTGCCTGCACAGACAGACAGAACCAGTGGAATGCTGGCTCTAAAAGAAATGCTATTCAGAGGAAGATGAAGTATGTGCGCTTCAAATGACACAACAGGAAGGATCTCTACCCGCTGCCACCGACATTACAGTCATCCTCTACCACTCCAGAACCGGCACAGGAGGTGACACTCTTTAGGACTCATGAAGAGTGGAGGAAGAACGCACTTGCCTCACCAATGGCAGAACTTTTCAACTGCCCTGGGAATAGCCTCCTGCAGCTCTGCTTTATTGCTAATCCACAGCCCAGCTTGAGGATATTGAGAAGGTTACAAAAGCACAGAGCAAAAAACAGGTCTGGCATGATGCGCGTCACAGCGAGCACGGCTAGAAAGGTGCCCATTCGCTCAACCACGGCGCCTGACAAGTTTTTGTCAAAACACTTACACCCATCCTTCCGTGGCAATGCCGCAAGCCGTCAAGCAGCGGAGGGGGAGGAACTTGCAAGGGACAATTTGGAAACTCTGGGCAACAGCATTGAAATCAAAGGCTTAGTGGTGTGCGAAAAGGAACCGTGGCTTGCAGCATCTCCCGATGGAGTGATAAACAAAGACATTCTGTTGGAGATTAAATCACCTGTGATGGGAAACAAGTCACTTGCAGAATTTTTGGCAACAAAGAACTGCGAAATCACAACTGTGGCAAACATGGATAGCGTAGATTACCATATTGCCTGCAATGGTCCAAAAGGCTACTACATGCAGGTACAAATTGGGATGCACTGCACAGGGCTTCAGCACTCCAAGTTGGTGATCTGGAACAAAACTGAGCACCTAGAAATCAAAGTACCCTACGACCAAGGCTTTGTCCAGGGGCATATCATAAGGCTGCGCACATTCTACTTTGCCCACATGCTCCCGAAAATTGTTGATGATTTTGATGAGGGAAGGTTGCAGTTCTGCAGTAAATATCTCAACATTTTAATACCAAAATAAACTCCCTTATTTAGGTCATGCCCACAGGAGCCAACAGATGTCCGTTGTATACATAATGCACAATTTACATTATCTCTTTATGCTGTGCAATATATCAGTGTGCCTGTACTGTTGGAGTGAAAATAAATTTAGTAAGTAAGTAAGGTTTATTTCTATAGCACATTTAAAACAGCTCGCACTGACCAAAGTGCTGTCCATAGCAACAGGGTAATAAAATAAAGTAAACTACACTTACAAATCAGTGATTTAGGCTAAATCCACATCAAGAGACAAACACTTAATTACAAACATAGCAGAATAAGACAATTAAGATGCCGGGAAGGCCAAGGTAAAAAGGTGAGTTTTGAGCCTGGCTTTGAAAATCACAATTGAAGGGGCACTTCTGATGTCAGATGGCAGTCGGTTCCACAGCTGAGGGCCAGCAACAGAAAAGGCTCTATCACCTTTTTGCTTAAGCCGGGACCGTGGGACCTGGAGGAGGCCTTTACTGGAGGATCTGAGCGACCTAGGAGCTACGTAAGGATGAATGATATCTATTATGTTGCTGGGGGCCAGGGCGTGAAGAGATTTAAAAACCATCAACAGTATTTTAAATGGTATCCTAGACTGGACTGGAAGCCAGTGCAAGGAGGCTAGGACAGGTGTAATGTGTTCACGTTTTTTTTGTGTTTAGTGTTTTTTTTTCTTTTTCTTCTTTTTTCTTTTTTCTTTACAAAAATTTAATTAATTCACAATTACCAGGGAGTCACATTACATTTTAACCAAGCTGACACGTCTTATTTTAGACTTGTTCGACTTGAAGCGGCACTGCACAGACCGTTCATTTTATGACAAACTACTGCGAGAGCGATTCAAAAGCATACGGAGCAGTCCCCTTTAAGTCGAACAAGCCTTTTGAAATTAGTCATAGCCATGTGTTTCCTGTCCCCGTCTTGTTCATGTGTCATGTTTTCATTGGTTTATTGTCTTATCTTGTAACCAGTTCGGTTTTGCCATTGGTTGTTAATGTCATGTGAATACCCATTGTCTTGTATTTAAGCCCTCGTGTTTGCCATGTGTCCTTGTAGTGCATTGAAGAATCGTTTGATGATCCATTTTCCACAAATCAGGTTATTGTTTCAAATCAAGTTTAAAGTTGTTCATGATTGTGCTTTGTTTTCGTGTTTTGGATTCTATTCATGGTTGTTTCACGTCCTTGGATAAATAAACTGCACTTGGGTTCACTTTAACATCGTCTTTGTCTGCTTCATTGCCAAGCTAACCACGTTACACTAGGCTTGTCATAAAGGTCAAATGATCTGATATTTTAAGAGACTCATTGATAATCCGTCATTAGGTTCTCTATCAGTTTGTTTTCTGTCGGCATCACATGCATTTGATTTTCTAAGAAGTAATAGGCCTAATTAAAAAGATTGTGCCAAACTTTTAGTTTTTTCTTTTTGAAAATGTCTTCTTTTTAATTAAGCTTTTTATTCAATACGATATAAGGATGGTTGTATCACTGTCACATTGTTCACTTTTGGGTGAACTATTCCTTAGACATCTTTCATCCGGCACACCATCATCCTCAACTGAAGACCATTTTGCAATTATTTATAGCTGCCTGCCCAAACCTAACAAAAATTGCTGAATTTTTAGAAGTGGCTGTGTTTATTAATGACCCATGTTTGCAGTTAGAGAAGGGTGTCGTTGGATCAGTAATGACCATGTCTCACACAATAATCTGGAGGCTCTGTGCTCCCTGGTGCTACTTCACAGAGTCAAAGAACAGTGTGATTTCTTCTAGTTGGCCCCTGGAGATGGTTTGTATGCTTTTTCTCTCCACCGGCATAATTAAACATCCACATGCCCACGCCACACCCCATAATGAACTTGTTTGCATGGGGGAGTGAATCTACCCTGTCTCTTCAGCTTAGAACACCTTCCCATTTTCTCTACATTAGACTCTGCCTTCTTTACCTTTTATATTGGAGTATGTGGGGTCTGATGTAGCCAATCTGCCAGTGCTGGTAAAAGTCAGCAAAGAGATGAACGTGTAAAATTCCTTGCTACATGTGGACTGCTAACATACAATTCAACATGACATTCAATGATAATCTGGAGCTCAGAAGGTTTTCAGATGCAGTCAAAGTATGAAACAACAGGAGACTCATTGTTAGCCAAGCAACAGTATGGCTGTTGAATTCTGTGAGTTTAAGAAAAACTTTCAAGGGTAAGTAAATGTGAAATTTTGTAATGGATAAATTAACATGTGCTGGAAAAGCAATACTGGCTAATAACTGAATTCTCTACTCTAGCTATGTTTGGAAAAATATACTACCATACTGCTCTTGCTATTGGCGCAGTATTATTACGTATGCAAATATTCAACTGACCTACAATACTACATTGCAGTTTACAACAAGAGTGCACAGCATAATACTACAATGCAATGCTCTTGACATGATTCTCCATTTCCTGTGTGATGGATGAACCGGAAGTTAAAAAAAATGAAGGGTCAAGGGAGAACATTGCATTGTGGGTTACATTATTCCATGCATTATGCTCTGGTGTAAACTGCTCATTTTGACAGATATTCTGTAGAAGATCATCTACTACATAAAATGTGCTTACTATGCACAAAATACATAGCATCTACTGCAGGAACAGTACAGACACAACTTTTTTTTCTCTTTAAGGGGGTCACACACCAGACGAGAAGCGCAGAACCAATTGGTTGTTGATTTATTTCCAGCAATATATTGAGTTATGCTGCACACCATGTTTTATCTCCAAGTTTGTCTTTTCAAACACTGCTTAAATACAAATACAATTAACTATATACTCACGCATTAGCTAAATAAATGGGCTTAATGACAATAAATTGGAGAAAATGCTTTTTGTTTCATTTTTGTTGTTTTGTAAGACTAAAATCATCTCTCACTTGGTCGACTAATTTAGCTAATATTTATACAGTAGCCTACTTAGCAAAGTGTTTATTCAGTAGCCTATTAGGCTAGTAAACCACACTGCTGGTGTTTTATGCATTTTCCAAATTGATCATCTTTAGCCTATGCTATTTTAAAGAAAATTGCAATGTCATTTAATTTTTAGGACACTTTTGGTACATTCATCAGTTGTCCAATCTAAAATCTGAATCCTGAAGCAAAACGTGAACTACGGATGTTATTCTTCTCCCCCCCCATACCATATCCTACTTCAGCAATCTGGGAACTTTACATAAGCTGTAATAGGCCTACTGTTTCTGTCACCATCTACGAGTTATATTTCAAAACCTTTGCAGTCGCACATTTACTGAACTGAATAATTTATTATAATAGCCTGCATCGTATTCACCATGCACTATTTTACACGCGAGTTTAAATTAGAATATTGACATTAAACTGAGCCCTTGTGCGCATGTCGCTTTCTCTTTACTCAACAGTCTAAAGTCTCACATTTTTCAATTATCTTTGTTAAGCAGATGTGGATTAATACGCGGACACAGTGCAATACTGGACAGCTGTTACTCGATTTATCCCAAGATAGAGACGGTATAACCATATTTTTTGTCTCAATTCGCTTGTATTTCGGTTTTATCCCGTGGATGTGCCCTTTGCCCCTATATTCACGGACTGAACTGCGCCATCCGCTTCTCTCTCATAGTCTTCAGCTCTCCGTCGTTTGTTCCACCACGCATATCTGTCTAGAGATTTTCGTATACAGAGTTTGTTCAGCTCGTTGTGACGCGCATGCAAAAGTTGCATTATGAGATACGAAAGTTGCAGCGCTCGCCCAGCTCTCGCGACTGCTAATGTGCATTAGCTAGCGCAGTCGAGCCCGTCTAATCAAACTCTTTAGTACAAATATGCTTTTTATCCACGGTTGACAGTCTGTATACGGTGTCGTCGGTTTAAAATGACATCGAGGGAATGACATACGCCAGTGTTCACACAGCGTTTCTGTTTTGACCGCATCCAACTGTCTGAAGCGGCTGCATTTGTATGTTCGGTGACACTTGACATTAGCATCAGCTCGTTTGTCGATTCGGCGCGGATTTGATTAAGCCTTTATTGTGATTTGTATTCGAATGGCTGAAGGGTAACTTGTACTGGAGTTTTGTGTGTGTGTGCGTGTTTGAGGGGCGTTTACCGTGTTGAAGCTAGCAGAAGCTTTTTTGACGGGTAGATCACGGGCTGTCGGGAGTTTGACAAGCTGCTTATGTAATGCTGGCGATTCCCCGCTCGACCTCAAAAGACGAAGAACAACAACGAGTATTCAGAGCGCGGCTAAGTTTATTTTGTGACAAGACTTGTGTGCGTCGTCATAACGGCGCATTTAGTTGTTTTTGCGACTCGCTGCTGTTTAAATAGTGTCGAAGCTGCAGCGCGTCCTGTTAAATCTATTGACCATGCGGGAAGTTAAACGAGAAACTATTGTGAACGCCACCTAAACGCATGGACAGCTTTGGACTTGTATAGAAATGCATTTTTCGTCATAAATCTGTTAAGGTAAGTCTGTCTCATGTACTTGGGGTCATTGCTTTCCATGCGTGGTGAATGCAGAGTGCATTTTTTTTTAAATGTACATACCAACTGCATATTTATCTTGTTTTAATGGCTTAAATTTCGAATAACAACCCATATAGCTGCTCATATAGCTCCTATATAGCCTATATGTTTCAAAGCTTCTCTTGCTACCTTGAAAATTTGCGTCATTTGGGCACTCCAGGCCTCTTTTACGTTTAAACCATATCCTTAAAATTGTTTTTAATTCTCGTTAAGTAATTTAGTATTGGCATTCTGTTTGATATTTATGTATGTTTAGCAAGCTTTAATGTACACTAAAGCGGTTTGTCAGACTGAAGTTCATTTTGGATGCAGTAGCCAAGTTCAACTGACAGGTGGCAGCACTGCGGTGCATCGACTAATGCATTTGGAGGATTTGTATGAGTTTTAATGTCTCTACGTGCCTGAAGCCTTCATTATCTGAGCAAACAATCGCCTCATCAAGCTCCATTTTGTGGGATGAGTTTAAATGCTTTGCTGTAGTTTTATGAAACTGTATTTATTACTGCTGTAATGAAGACTATTGATTCAAATAAGTTGTCAGGAGAAATTACTTGTACAAGGGTCAAAACAACTCGATGTTTAGCTGAAAAGTCTTTAAAATCTGCATAACCAATTCGTTATATCACCGCAAGAGAGCTTTTGTGGCAGAATATGCATAGAAATGTAGTTTCATATTATATAGTTTAATTTTGTTTGGAGCTGAGAGGAACTTCAGGTGGGAGTCCAGTCCAGACGTACGATTCAAAGTCTGAATAATATTTTCTGAATAAATGCATCATCAAATAACGTCGGAGGCCTCGGTGCAAAACTTAGTTTGGTTTACAACAGCTTTATGTAAACATAAGTGCTATGTAAAATACTATAATTTATTAACAATTCCTGCTCTATTTTATAAGTAAACATATTGTAACTTTTTATCAAATTAACTGAGGTTTGCCCTTTTCTTCTCTCTGTCTATACAACAGGATTGAGATATGGATCGTGGACTGAAACGCAGCAGTAACAATACTGATAATTTAACTTTTGGGGAATGTATTGAGAGAGGCCTTGTTCCGGAAATTGGTGTCAATGCGCCCGCTTTAAATACATCAAAAGATTTCTCAAACGGACTGAGTGGTAGTGACGTTCAAAGAAGCCTGTCTATGGTAGATCCATCCTTAATGGGACGTAACACACAAGAACCAGATGTCAAAGTATTGAAACCCTTCAGAATGCAGCACCAGCAAAAGGCAAAAGAGCCCCTTAGTCTCAACATTGGGGAGAACTTTTCACTCTTGGACGAGAGCATTGCCGACTTAAACCGTGACTCTGACATCCAGGCTCTGGACACTTTTAAAGTGAAAATGGAGGAGCTGTCCCCCACGGAGAAAGAGAGGCTGGACTTTCCGCCCTATGGCCAAATGGAGAAGGAAATGGCGGGTCACGAGAGGGTTATTGGAGACAACACCATGGACATCCTAAAGGATCTGGACTTACCTGACTCACTCACTGACCTGAATGAGTTCTACGTTACGGACGAGACTGCCTTTCTCTCCTCGCTGGCAGTGGATGATGCCCTGTTGGCAGAAAGCAACTTGATGAAGGATACCAGCCCTGTTGTCACTGGCAACAGTGCAGCGTGTACAAATGTGAACGGCACAGGGAAACGGCAGCAGATGGTGGAAGCCAGTGTCAACATGCCGGTCATAAAAACGGAGAAAGAGACAGACTTTATCCAGCTTTGCACACCGGGTGTCATCAAACAGGAAAGTGAGAGGCGGAGCTACTGTCAGATGTCAGGGATGGGTGGGTCTCACGGTGGGCCCACCGCGTTGGGAGATATGGGCAGCCCGGGATACCACTATGGAGGCAACACCTCCTCAGCTGCGAGTTTACCCGATCAGAAACCTCCGTTCGGCCTGTTTGCTCACTTACCCGGCTTTAGTGACGGCTGGGGTAGAGGAAATGGATATGGAGATTCATCTGGGATGCAGAGAGCCAATGAGACAGTACTTCCGTCCACCTATCCATTCAGCAGGTAGGATTGACTTTAAAAGGCAGCTTTATGATCATAAACAATGCTATGGATAAATAGTGAATAATTAGATCTAAAATGAAATGGGGCTGAGGTTGTGCACATCATTTAGCATATCTGCTTGTTTTAACACGAGGTTTTCCTACGCTCATGGAACTTATGGAAATTTTCAAAATTGTGATTTCCAGGCCTGAGAAAGATATGGAAAATAATCAAATCTTTTCTGTAGTGAATATACATTTTGTAGTTATGCTGAGCTGTAAGAGATTTAATCAACTGGAAAGTTATGGCTTTTATGGGAAATCCTGCCCTATGGGTCATATTTTGATAAAATCCAGTATGCGTTTTGCAGACATGCCCACTGATGTAGATTTCTACATCATGGAAAACTTATGGGGGGAATTTTAAAACTGTGATTTCCAGACTTGGAAAAAGTATGGAAATGAATACAATTTTCATAAGTCCAAACGTTTTTGAAGTTTTTATGGTGAATATACACTGGCTAAAAATAGCATTTTGTGGACCGTGTCATTTCAATAAAATGATTAAATAAATCATGATCCAGACAAGAGTGATGGCAATGTGGAGTTATTCTCTGTCTGCCAGACTCATTTGCCTGGTAGTATTCTTTGAAAAACTGGCTACAAAACTTCTCATAACTGCATGATATTTGATAAAGCTGTTGTTTGCAGCTTTAATTAGTTTGAACAGAGCAAGTGCCGGTCGGCTTCTTCTCCCAGGAGCCCATGAGTGCGTATCTGTATTGGTGCGTTGCCTGTCCTAAGCAAACACATGGGCCTCGTGGAGCTCTCTTCGGCCCAGGACGGCACACACGCACACCTCTTCTCGTTTCAGGAGGCTTTAAGCTTCAATAAAATCATCGAGTGGAACACTTCACCTCTATTGCTGTTGCTGGAGTTTGTGATATTGTTTTTCGGTGAGCGTGGAGAGGACCAGAAGCTACGAGTCATTATGTCTTAAAATTCCCTGAGTAAATATGAAATTGATTGAATAAATAGTGGTGTTTTATGGCCAACCCTTCTACTTAGGTGTAAATGAATACGCTCTGGCAGATCCTAAAAGATAGGGACTATTCATGACCTCCCGGTTATGCTTTTGTTCACCTTTCTGATCTGTACAATTGATCTGTCAAGGTAAAGCGTGAAAAGAGGAAACTTTTTCCCCATCCAACTTGATCCACTGTGCCATCTCATTTGCGCAAGAAAAACCTTAAAACTTTTCCCATTGGCCGTCCTGAATGTTAATCTGGCAGTCTACTTAGGAAGCCAATGTAGAGATATCTGGGTCAACATGATTCTGCCACTAAACCAACTTGGACTGTAGTTCTGTTAGGGGAAACGTATCGGTGTTAGTCTCACCCGACTCATTTTTTTTTTTTATGGACACATCTTAGACATTTTTGCAGTTTTTACTTAATAGTTATATCTGTAACACTGGAATTTCAGTTTAAACAGACAGACTCCTTAGGTGTGCTATTTTGCTGTTGCTTTTCATAGACTTTGTTCTTATGAAGACGTTTCACCAGATTAAAGTCTGAAAATCTCCCTGACGTTCCCTGATTAAATGCATTTAAAACGTAACCAGCAGTGATGCCTGCATTATAGCCTGATATTTGCAAACTGAATTACGATTGGTCTTCTTTCTTACACCAAGTTGTGTGCTGAATTGTTATTAACGGTTGTCTTTCTTGCATATTCAACCGTCTTTAAACTGCACGTTTTGTGTGCAGCAACAAAAACAAGACATGCTCTGACTGTCATGACAACAGCAAAGCGACTCTGATGTGACATTTCATTTACACAGAGCCAACAAACTTAAACTATTCTTTCAGTGCCTTGCGAGCACTAGTAAAACTCAGGAAATGTCAGGAAGTGTTTTAAGCATTAAAAAAAAAATGATGTCAATCATGTTACGTAAGAAAACCCACCAAGACAATTTTTGTGAAATTTTTTAGTTAGTAGTTAGTTATTTTTAGTCATTAAGTCTTAATTTGTTGATCTTGTAGACATTTTTGCTGTATTTTTGACGAGTTTGCTTCGAATGATTTTACCAGTCGTGCAGGTTTGTTTTGCTGGAGGTCAGGGATGTGTTTTGCTTTTGTTGTACTTTTTAACTCAATATAAGGCTAAGTATACATTAATTAAGATACATTTGTTTCAAAACGCTCTCCGTCAAAGTTTCACATCCACACTGAAACGTCGGAAAACACTAAATTCACCTTAGCTCTCTGAGATGATACAGATGGAACTAGAGTTGTTCCGATTCCGATACTAGTATCGGAAATGCCGCCGATACCAATAAAATGCTGGCATCGGTATCGGCGAGTACTTCTACCCATGTACTGATCCGATACCATTTTCTTAAACAATATCTAGTTATGCACGCTAGCTTTGCATAACGCTGCAAATCGGAGATCAATTCTTCTTCGCTGCTCTAAACAGTGGTTGCTTGTGGCGACACAGGAAGTTGTGCTGTTGCCAAAAGCAACCACTGTTTAGAGCAGCGAAGAAGAAAACGCGCGCGATAGCAGTATGTCCGCTGTTTGGCAGCATTTCAGACTGGACCAACCAGCCAGGAAAACGGTGACATGTCTGGTATGCCATACTGCGTATTAGCAACTTCAACACGAGTAACTTAAAGCATTTGAAGACGCGTCACCCCGCAGAACACGATTACACAAAGGCAAGGGCAGAGAAGAATGAGCCGCGCCAGAATCAACAATCTCTGAAAGCTTCATTCAAACAAAGAGAAAAGTTTTCAAAAGACAGCCAACGAGCGATAAATATAACCGACAACATGTATTGAGTTTATTGTTCTGGATGTCCAGCCGCGGTCAAATCTGAAATGCCGTTTATTTAACAAAATTGTTTATGGACTTTAAATTATAAAGAGATTATTTTCTTATATTGTTCATATATCATTTTTTAGATTCCTAGATTTATTTGTTGCACTTTTTTTATGCAGTTATATTGTAAAACTAAAATACCCTTTTCAGTTTACAGTATTAGATGTGTGGTTGCATTAAGTTCTTTTTCACTTAAGAAAGATAAATAATATATTGCTGTGAAATGAATGTCAGATAATAAAAATACTCTAGTTCACAGTATGTATTTGTTCATGTTTAATTAGGATAAGTCTGAAACACGCCATAAAATAATTCTATCAATTCATACAGTGCTAGTGTGAATTGCAGCTGTATAGATACTGTACACACCCAGGTATCGGATCAGTACTCGTATCGGCCGATACCCTGAGTCCAGGTATCGGTATCGGGAAGGGAAAAAGGGTATCGGAACATCTCTAGATGGAACAGACATAATAAAGTTTTCATGCTATTTTACGCCAGAGAATAGCATGCTATTAATGCTATTTCTATGTATAGCACTTTGAATTACCATTGTGTATGAAATGTGCTATATAAATAAACTTGCCTTGGCTTTGCCTATTCTTCTGGCAGAATCATTTTATTTAGCAAAATATCTCCCCATTCACTGATGCGTCCAGGTCTCACTCAGTCACCAATATACACTCATCGGCCACTTTATTAGGTACCCCATGCTAGTAACGGGTTGGACCCCCTTTTGCCTTCAGAACTGCCTCAATTCTTCGTGGCATAGATTCAACAAGGTGCTGGAAGCATTCCTCAGGGAGTTTGGTCCATATTGACATGATGGCATCACACAGTTGCCGCAGATTTGTCGGCTGCACATCCATGATGCGAATCTCCCGTTCCACCACATCCCAAAGATGCTCTATTGGGTTGAGATCTGGTGACTGTGGAGGCCATTTTAGTACAGTGAACTCATTGTCATGTTCAAGAAACCAATTTGAAATGATTAGAGCTTTGTGACATGGTGGAAGTAGCCATCAGAGGATGGGTACATGGTGGCCATAAAGGGATGGACATGGTCAGAAACAATGCTCAGGTAGGCCGTGGCATTTAAACGATGCCCAATTGGCACTAAGGGGCCTAAAGTGTGCCAGGAAAACATCCCCCACACCATTACACCACCACCACCAGCCTGCACAGTGGTAACAAGGCATGATGGTTCCATGTTCTCATTCTGTTTACGCCAAATTCTGACTCTAACATCTGAATGTCTCAACAGAAATCGAGACTCATCAGACCAGGCAACATTTTTCCAGTCTTCAACTGTTCAATTTTGGTGAGCTCTTGCAAATTGTAGCCTCTTTTTCCTATTTGTAGTGGAGATGAGTGGTACCCGGTGGAGTCTTCTGCTGTTGTAGCCCATCCGCCTCAAGGTTGTGCGTGTTGTGGCTTCACAAATGCTTTGCTGCATACCTCGGTTGTAACGAGTGGTTATTTCAGTCACTGTTGCCCTTCTATCAGCTCGAACCAGTCTGGCCATTCTCCTCTGACCTCTGGCATCAACAAGGCATTTCCGCCCACAGAACTGCCGCTCACTGGATGTTTTTTCTTTTTCGGACCATTCTCTGTAAACCCTAGAGATGGTTGTGCGTGAAAATCCCAGTAGATTAGCAGTTTCTGAAATACTCAGACCAGCCCTTCTGGCACCAACAATCATGCCACGTTCAAAGTCACTCAAATCAACTTTCTTCCCCATACTGATGCTCGGTTTGAACTGCAGGAGATTGTCTTGACCATGTCTACATGCCTAAATGCACTGAGTTGCCGCCATGTGATTGGCTGCTTAGAAATTAAGTGTTAACGAGCAGTTGGACAGGCGTACCTAATAAAGTGGCCGGTGAGTGTATATACCATTATACCATTTGGTCTAAACCACAACTGGTCTCATGTTTTGCAAGTAAATTTTCTGTCATCTTTGCAGGATATGAAGATACGAGTCAATATGAGTCACATGACTAAACATGCGTCATCGTTTTCAAATACCTCCGGTTTCACAGTCCACACTACATTGTGAAAACGGCGTTTACATATTTACCCACTTGGGAAAGCGTTCTCAGTGTGGACGGAAGGCCAAAACGGAGAGAAAAATCTG